AGCCCTTCTAAATTAATTGGCAGTGGGACGAAATGCTGAAGAGCCAGTTTTATTTCACACGTACAGGGGGGTTGGTAGCATATGTACTTACAATGCATAAAGTCACAGCAACCACACATCAATAAATCGATCCAAGCAAGGCCAGGACCACATCTTCCCCAAGGTTCCCCGTGTACATAATATACATATATATATTACTGGAGGAAAACAACCACAGAAATATAAACAAATATTACTTGTTTACCCCCAGACCAAATATACATCAGGGACTTAATACTGTCCAATGGAACATTTTTAAAGTTATTTGTTCAGTTTAGGTTCTTCCAGTGGTAAATAAGCATCTAAAAAACCCCATTAAACGTAACACTGGTATTTACAACACCAAGTAATGTGAACATCCCCTAGGTTTCCTAGTCCTCAGGAAAAATGGTAATGATATTTCCATTACTTGTGCACATTCCTCAGTTACATTAAACAAACAGAAGGAGCTCAGTGACCTCACAGCCTGTACCTGGGCCGCGCCAATCGATCGATCGATCGAGTGAGGATGTTGTCTTCAGGTCCCTCCCTGTAACTCTGGTAAGTTCTTACTCAATGGGTCTCCATCCCCCACACTCTACATACCCATTCAATTCACCCCAGAGGCCCAGGAGCCCAGGGGGATTCCTGGCATGAGCTGTTCAGGGCCAAGGTGGCAGAGACCCAAGCCTCCTAGGTTGCTAGTACCCTGGGGTTGAGGGGAGAGGGATTCTGGGAAAGGGAGAACATAGGGGCGGACGAGTCTTTACACATCATCGGCTTCCCCACAGTCCACAGAACACAGAGAAAGAGGAGGACTATTTCAGATGACTAGAGAACCAACTCGAATTATGCCAGGTCTATCAATCTTTGCAGTAGGAAATGTCATGGAAACACCATTACATCAGACAGGCTGGAGAAGCAAAACCACCACACGGAATGGTGAGAATGAGTATGGACCTGGAGAAATTTGTGGACGAGCTGCTAAAGCTTATGCATATTTCTGTTTACGTGCCATATTTTGCCAGGTATAATACGCACCCACGTTTTTGGCCCAAACTTTCAGGAAAAAATAATCTTTCATTTAAATTTTTATTTAAATTATTTATTTGTATTTAGAAACAAAACCAATTATTGTATTCCAGGACATTATTTTGCATATGGATATTGTTATTGCTTTCTACAGTTATACTTTTAAAGCATAAGCATAAATAAAAGAATTAAAAACATTTATATAAATATGGAATTAGTACTACCCATGTATAATTCACATCCTTATTTTTCCCTCAAAAATTTGGACAAAAAGTGAGCATTATACAAGGCAAAATACGGTACTTATGCCTGTCTTGTTTTGCAAAGATTTTTATTCGGCATCCAAAAAGACTGTGGATCAAGAGCACAAATTACAATGAAAGAGAAGGGGAAATGAGCCCAGTTGGGACCAGTTCCCAATCCTCCAGAACTCACACACATCGGCAGATTTCATTTTCCCCCTTCATCTCAGAGAAAAGTGCATAGCTTTTCCTTTTAAATAAATTTAAAAATATAAATTAGTTCTTAAAAGTTAAAAACAGACTTAACTTCACACACAGGAAAGAATCATTTCCAGTGAATCTGAAGTAGTATTTTGACTATATTTTGCCTAAGGATAAAAATACATCAGGAAAGAATCATTTCCAGTGAATCTGAAATGACTGTCTTGCCTAGGGATAAAAATACATCTTAAACTGGCATTTAGGTAAAACACACAAACCAACCAACCTGCGTTCAGTAGATTTCACCTTAGTACTAATATCGTATTACCATTTTGAATCTATAATGTATATAGTAGAATAAAGTAATTAAGTAATTGCACTGGGTTGTTAGGAACCAAAACTTTCCATGTAAAAAAGAAACAAAGTCAAAGAAAGTTAAGTAAAAACCCTGTCATCAGAGATAAGGGGGAAATTTTGTGACTTCCGCTGAATTTTGCTATGAATGTAAAACTGCTCTAAAAAAATAAAGTCTATTTTTGAAAAAGCCCATAATCTCCCACCTGACTTGGAAATATTACTATAAAATTAAGTTCTTTTCTTTTTCTAAAAACGTGTGTATTTCTTAGCAATATCCACTGAAACAGCTTAGAATTGACAGTAGCCAGTAGCAATGAGCTCCCTTAACACTTAAATTATGATCTATAAATATTATCTGCTAAAAAGAACCAGGAGCCTTCAAAAAATTACTTAACCTAAGTTTGGGGCAGAGTATGTCCAAAATAAGCCTAAAACTATCAAAAACTATTAGGGTCACAACAAAATGGCATAATTGGCCAAAAATGAGGTATCAGAAGCATCAAAAGATGTATCACTTCAATGGATTGAAGCACATCAAATGTATAAAAATAACCAAATTCATAATACTCTCTCCCATCCCAAAGAAAGCTTATTGGCTATCCTTGGAGACTGCTGGGGCAGCCATTCATTAATCTGAGAATCGATGAACAAAGGAGAAGGATCTGGTGTCTGTTTTGCCTTTGCTATAGACTTTTTCAGAGTAATCAAACAACTGATGAGGAGAGTTCTTTGCAGAAGAATGACAGCTAATAAACACAGAAGACATGATGAAATTGAAAATCACTATTTTGGGGGCCAAGGGAGGGACTGTATTTCTGAGTACCCCCAAAACTTTTTCAGAATGCAAAATTGAGGCTAAAGAAGTTCCCATTGTCTCTTGAATATATAAAAGCCAACTAACTACTCCTAAGAAGCCTATTAAGTACACTGGCCTACTCAAGTCTGAATTTAATGCATCACACTATTTTTTAAAAATCACCATTTTACAGTTGGAAGTGGAATAATGAATTTAAGTGACACTCATCAGTGACTGCTGAAACATTAAATAAAATGTTGATGAGTAACATTCTACTGGAGGGATCAAGCTAACACCTGGACCCACGGGTCAATCTTAGTATCACTGAAGCAATGAAGTCTTTGTATCAAAAAAGGGAAAAAGTTGAACTTGATTCTATCCAGCCTGTAGCTCTAACTTTTATAGATCTCTAGCTCTACCAGTTTACAAAATATGAGGAAAAGACAACACATTAAACACAACCACAAGTCCAAAATGTATGAAATTCTAAGATATAATATCCTGGTAAGTTGAATAAACAAATAACAGAAAATAAAAGAGGAGGGTGTTTAACAGACTTAGAGAGACTTAAGAAATACATCACATACAACATATGGACCTTGCTCTTGAATCCTGATTCAAACAGAAGAACTGCAGAGATATGATTCCTCAAGAAACCAAGGCAGAAACTATACCCAAGAATAGCAGAAGGAAATAATAAAGATTAGAGCAGAGATAAGTGAAATAGAGAATAGAAAAATAGGAAAAAAATCAATACAACTATGAGTTTTTTTTAAAGATGAATAGAATTGACAAATCTTTAGCTAGATTAACTAAGGAAAAAAGAAGACTCAAATAATTAAAATTAGGAATGAAAGAGGAAACATTACAAATGATACCACAGAAATGAAAAGTATTGGAAGAGACTGCTATGAACTGCATGCCAACCAATTGGACAACCTAGAAGAAATAGATAAATTCCTAGGAACACATAACCTACCAAGACTAAATCATGAAGAAAGAAAAAAATCTGAACAAACCAATAACTAGTAAGAAGACTGAATCAGTAGCTGCAAATCCTCAAAGAAAAACCCAGGTCTAACAAAACCCATCTGGGCTTTGTTAGAGAATTCTATCAATATTTAATGGAGAATTTACACCAATCCTCCTGAAACTCTCCCAGAAAATTGAAGAGGAAGGAACATTTCTCAATTCATTCTATGAGGTCAACATTACCCTAATACTAAAGCCAGACAAGACATAACAAGAAAAGTACAGAACAATACTTTGATAAATATTGATGCAAAAATCCACAACAAAATACCAGCAAAATGAACTCAACAATACATTAAAAGGATTATACACTATGACCAAGTGCGATTTATTCCTGGGAGGCAAGAACGGTTCAACATATGAAACTCAATCAGAGTAATATACAATATTAACACAATGAAGAACAAAACCCACATGATCATCTCAACTGAGGCAGAAAGAGATTTTCCAAGATCCAACACCTTTCATAATAGAATAGCAAACTAGGAATAGAAGGAAAGTACATCAACATAATAAAAGCCATATATGAAAGCTCACAACTAACATACTCAATGGTGAAAATCTGAAGCTTTTCTTCTACGATCAAGAACAAGGCAAGGATGTTTGCCAACACCGCTTCTATTCAGCACAGTATTAGAAGTCTAAGCCAGAGCAATTAGGCAAGAAAAGAAAATAAGAGGCAATCAACTAGAAAGGAAGAAGTAACCTTATCTCTGTTCACAGATGACATAATATTATATGTAGAAGGTCTTAAAGATTCTACGCACTAAAAAAGTAATTGTTAGAATAATAAATGAATTCAGCAAAGTTGGAGGACAAAAAATCAACATACAAAAATCAGCTGTGTTTCTATACACTAACAATAAACAATCTAGAAAGGAAATTAAGACAATTCCATTTATAATGGCATCAAAAAGAATAAAATACTTAGGAATAAACCTACACAAGGAGGTGAAGACTCATACAAGACATTGTTGAATGAAATTAAAGAAGACACAGACAAATGGAAAGACATTCAATGTTCACAAATTGGAAGACTCAGTTTTGTTAAGATGTCCATTCTACCCAATGTGATTTACAGATTCAGTGCAACCTCTTTCAAAACCCCAATGTCATTTTTTGCACAAATAAAAAAAAATCATCCTAAAATTCATATGGAATTTCAAGGAACCTCAAATAGCTAAAACAATTAAAAAAAAACAAAGTTGGAAAATTCATACTTCCTGATTTCAAAATATATTACAAAACTGATACTGTGGTACTGGCATAAAGATAAATAAATAGACCAATGGAATAGAATAAAAAGGCCATAAATTGTCCTGACTTGTGTGGCTCAGTGGACTGAGTACCAGCCTGCCAACCAAAGGGTAGCAAGTTCAATTCCCAGTCAGGGCACATGCCTCTAAAAATAAATATATTTTTTAAAAGGCCATAAATAGACCTTCACATATATGCTCAAATGGTCTTTGACAAGGGTGCCAAGACTATTCAATGGCAAAAGAATAGTCTTGTCAACAAATGATGTTGGGAAAACTAGATATTCTCATGCAGAAGAATGAAGTTGGACCCTTACCTTACATTATATATAAAAATTAACTTGAAATGGATTGTAAGTTTCATGATATTGAACTTGGCAATGATTTTTTGTATATGATACCAAAAGTACAGGCACCAAAAGCAAAAAAAATAACCAAGTGGGACATCCTTAAAAACTTTTGCTCATTAAGGGCAATAGAATAAAATTTGCAAATCATATATCTCATAAGGGGTTAATAATACAGAATATAAAAAGAACTCTTATAACTCAACAACAACAAAGAGTTAAATAACCTGATTTAGAAATGGGGGAAATATTTCAACAGACACTTCTCCAAAGACGATAAACAAACGATCAACAAGCATATGAAAAGATGCTCAACGTCACTAACCATCAGAGGAATGCCGATCAAAACCACAGTAAGTTATCATCTCACACTACTAACAAAAAAACAAACAGTAACAAGTTCTGGTGAAAACACAGAGGAATGAGAACCTTGTGCACTGTCGGTGGGATGTCAAATGGTCCAACTGCTATGGAGAACAGTATGGAGGTTCCTCAAAAATCTCACTGCTGGGTATAAATCCAAAAGAACAGAAAGTAGGGTCTTGAAGAGATATTTGCATTTCCATGTTCATAGCAGCACTAGTCACAAGAAGCAAACAAACAAACCAACAAAAAGTGTGGAAGCAACCCAAATGTCCACTGATGGCCAAATGAATAAACCAAATGTGATATATACATGCAATGAACTATTACTCAGCCTTAGAAAGGAGCTCTTGTCCCACGCTACAGCATGGATGAACACGGAGCACATTCTGCTGAGGGAAAGACGCCATTGCAAAAATAACGATGTGCGATTCCACTTATATAAGGAACCCAGAGTAGTCAAAGTCATAGAAACAGACTGCAAAATGGTGGTTACTAGGTGCTGAGAGGAGGGGAAAAGAGGAGTTACTGTTTGTTATTGTTTAATGGGTACAGAGTTTCCCATCTGCAAGATGAAAAAGCTCTGGAGATCTGTTCCACAACAGTGTGAATACACTGAACACTACTGAACGGTACACTTAGAAATCATTAAGGTGGTAAATTTTATGCTTTGTGCTTTTTACCACAGTACAAAGAAAAAAAACAAAACCTACTGAGTTACTCAGGAAAAACTGCATACTAACTCTTTCGACAGTAGACTGCATTTGAATCCTGGTAGTCACCTGTAACCGATACAGTGGCTTAAGCCTCAGGCAGTGGAAAAACCACTTTTATTGAGAGGTAGAAGACCTGGCTTCCAGCCCCGACACCTCCTAACTAGGTATTAGGTGATGTTAAAGAATTACTATTAATTCCATTGGGTATAACGGCATTAGGTGTATGCTTTTCTAGAAGAGATTCATCTTGAAGTATTTTGGGGTAACATTGTATTTTCTAAGATTTGCCTTAATATTAAAGTCCAGCCAAAAGAGAAAGAGCGTGTGGTGGGGATGAGTGACAGAGAATATCAGAATATCTATGATCGTTGATGCTGGGTGCTGAGAGAGCGGTGCCATTCTTTCTACATCGTGAATACTTTTTACATTTCCTCAATAAAAAATCTACAACAAAACAAACAAAATAAAGGGGAAAAAAGACAGACGGATGTTTGGAATGGATGACAGTGGGGTGAATGAAGTGACATCTCCCATATAGTATGATCCTAATAATAGGATCCTAATAGGATCCTAATAGGATCCTAATAATAGGATCATACTATACTTGACATTGTTGTTTTTTAAAAGCATTTCAATTTCACTTGAATTTACAGATTAAAAAAAAAAATCCAGAATGGAAGCTGAAAGAATGTTCAAGCTCCAAGTAACTATTTCTCACCACTTCCTCCAGCCACAAACAAAGAAGGTCAGTGTGTGAGGAAGAGAAGTGCAGAGGGTGCCCGGGAGAGAGCGGCCCTTCCAGGCCGCATCTGGACAGTAAAGGAGAAGTTTCTGCTGGGAAACTCCCACCTCTTCACGGAATACAAGCCAAGTGGGAGGTGCTGCTGACTATTCCTTGGACACCTAAGATGGCCCTGCTTTGTGTCTCATAGGGTGGAATCAGCCACACTGGACTGGAAGGCCCGCCGTCAATACTTTGGATGTAACAAGGTGGTCTTCAGGATCCCCGGGGATTCCATTACCCACCAGGCGGAGTTCACAGGAGACTTAACACAGGCAGAGGAAAGCGACCCCCCCAGCAAATCACTGGGGCCCAGCAGCAGGAGGCTCGAGACCCACTCACATCCCCAGGACTGTCTGCTCCGTAAGTTCCCTGGCACCTGTACCCAGTTCCTTAGCATGCCCCCGCCTGATGTTTACAAAGCAGCCACACCGCGTGCTTCCACGGTGACTGTGCCACATGCAACTCCCGTGCCACGTCCCAGTGCCCTCCCCACGACACAGTGTTGAGGTAGCTATGATAATATCTCCATTTAGGGTGAGGGAAACCGAGGCTCAGTGAGGCCACGTCTGACCTCATTGCCTGACCTGTGAGCAGCAGGGTGACCTCTCATCAGAGTGACTGTCGATCACAAAAATGTCAACACTGAGCCCAGGTCCTCCATCTTCTCAGACAGGCCTTTCCTTGCATGCCTGCTTATTGCTACCCCAGGGCCAAAGGGTCTCATAAGGGCCGGACCAATAGAGGTAAAGTCACTCCAGACATAGTAACCTCCACCTGTTTTGCTATGGGTCCAGTGGCAGCACAGATGGACCTCTGATTCTGTGGCCAGAGTCCTAGGACAGGTCTGATGAGGTCAGGCCAGGGGGCAGAAAGCTGGCCAGTAGGAAGGATGGTCCCCCCTGCCCCTGCTGGAAGAGAGTGAAGGGTTGGGGGCATCCAGTTTTCTAACTCTCCCTCCAGTGTTAACAGACGTCCCACACTGAAACCAGCTGACTCCCCTCCAGGCCCTGGCCCATGTACTTAGGGGTGAACTGAAATCAGCCTCAAGCAAACAACCACTTTGAAAGAACATCAGATTCTAGGCCCTTTTTTGTTCTCTTCATCCTGGTAACTCTTTGAATCAGACACAGGTCCTGGACCACCGACAGTGGAAAGAACACTTTCACTGGGAAACGGACTTGACTTCTAGCCCAGAATCTCCTACACACCTTGTCCTGTTGCTAATGCCCTACCTACAGCTCGTTGCCTCCGTTTCTGCATCTCTAGACAGGGGGAAGGAGCCTGCCCTTAATTACCTCACCCAATTATTGTATAAAAGGAGGCAAACACCCTCTGAATTTCTACGCAGCACTATTACCACCACTCACCATGAAGCTCTGTTTCTTTCCACCCCACCCCCAACCCCACAGGCCCAGGAGCGCTGGCAGTAAAATAGCATCGCTCAAGGTCTGGAACAGGGTGAACTCTGTATTCCAGCAGGTTTTGCTGATGCCCTCAATAAAGATGACTCGGCAAGAACCAAGGGGGACAAGAAATTCTTCTTCAGCAGCCAGAAGGGCCTCCGTCTCACCTGCTCGCCCAGGTTACCTAGCAATGTGGCCCCTTGCCCAGAAAGCTCTACATCAATGGTCCTGGAAACTGCCTAAGTCCTAAAGAGGGTTTAAAAAGCACTCAGAGAACCTTCCCTACTCTGCTTTCTAGAGGTGCACATTTCAAGCAACCCCATGTTTCGGTTTATGCCTACGAGCTCTGCAGAGACGGAAGGTTTACTCCATGTCATCTGGAAAACAGGTGCCTGTCCTCATGCATGTGACTTTAGTGGCCTCACAAATGCATAGTAAAAAGCAACTGGCCGTCTACAGAGTTAACCTGCCAGGCAGCTCCACCAGAAATCACTGTTCAGGCCAGCCTCGTGACAAGCGTGTGTGGGCAGGGCTGGGCAGGAGAGGCAGGAGGACACAAAGCAGGTGACCTGCTCTGAAGAGGAACAGAGAACAGAGGGCAGGGGGTAATTAAGAGGCAGATGGGGCAGGGCCAGGTTCAGACAGCCCGCTGCAGGATGAGCTCTGTGATCTCTGCCCTGCTACCCAGTCTCATGGGGATCCCATAGTAGGCCGTGCCTGGGCTGACGTACACAAATGTGGTCTGGGCCACTTGATAGAGACCGGCAAAGAAGGGGTTCAGGAGATAGGCTGCCACGTTCAAGGGGAAGATTTGCCCAGCGTGCGTGTGCCCAGAAAGGATCAGGTTAATATCTGGCCGAGTCTGAAGGGCTCTCTTGGCAGCCAGGGGCTGGTGAGCAAGCAAGACGGTGGCGTGGTCCGGGCTGCAGCCCCCTAGGGCCTTCTCGAGGTCCATGCCGTGGCCGGAGTAGTGCAGGATGTCTGCTTCGATGTCATCCACCCCGGCCAAGCAGATCCAGTCGTCACCCCCACCACCAGCCTGCTGGGCCCCTGTGGCGGAAATCTTCACGTTCTCATTGTGAAGGGGCCTGACGTTCAGGGACTCCAGCAGTGCGAACCAGTTGCTGACGTCGGACGTGTAGTACTCGTGATTCCCGGTGACAAAGTAGGTGCCCAGGCGTGAATGAAGCTGGCCCAAAGGAGCCACGGCTGTCCGGAGGACGGAGGCTTCTGAATCGCAGAGGTCGCCCACGATCACCGTGACGTCCGGTTCCAGCTGGTTCACCATCCTCACGAACATCTCCATTTTGGTCCTGCCCACGGTGGGGCCCAAGTGAATGTCTGAGAGGAGCACAACCTTGAGGTTGTCCATCGAGGGGGGCAGCTGATGGATGGGCACCGCCACGGTTTTTACCAGCGGGGGCTGGGCAGCGTTCAGAAGCCCGGCTATGCTGAGCACGGCGGTCACCGCCACCGCCAGGGCCGGCCTGAGGGTCAGCTTCCTTGTCTTGTCAAGGCTGCCCACCACCCTGCCACTGCGCCAGGCCAAGAGCTGGTAGGCCTGCTCCATGCCGCTCAGGGTACAGAGGAAGAACAGCATGATGATGTACGCCCCGAGGCAGGAGTAGGCGGCCAAGGAAAACAGATAGGGCTCCTCGGCCACCAGAAAGAGCATGGTGAAGAAACTGGAATGGGCCAAGGCCAGGAAGGTCACAACGGCCGCCTTCCAAAGCTGAAAGCAGGCTGACTCCGAGGCTGGGGAATGGCTAAGGTTGCTGACTGCGCTCCGCCAGATGTAGAGGGAGCCGATCAGCATGAGCGAGTTGACAAACAGGGCAAGCTGCAGGCGGAACAGCCAGCGCCAGGCTCCCAGCCGAAGGCTCTCGGACAGGTAGGAGCGGGAGATTATCATGGACACGAAGACAGTGCCAGCAGCCAGGGCAGCCTTCACACCCAGGGACAGCTGCCTGAAGACCACCATTTTCTCTGCTCCTAAGAGGGTCCCCTGGCAGGTCTGTGCCGGCGGGCTCTGGAAGGCGAGGTCCTTGGAAAAGACAGTGGCCAAGGAGAAGGTTCCGGCTCAGGTCCGCCTGCAACCAGGAACCGGCATCAGCTTTGTGGAGTATCAGAGCTTTCTCGTCCCCATTCAAAACCCGAAGGCCGAGTACAACCTCCCGACCTGCCTCGAATCCCAGCCACTGGTTGGTGGGGACACTTTACTATTAAAACACAAACACTGGGTTGTAACACGATGGGCAGTTTTCATGGTCTTCCGTCCACTTTTCTGAACACTTAAAGTTTCTCCACAATGCGTACAGAATTTCTTTTATGATAACAAACACATTATTTTAAATCAGCGGTTCTCGAAGTGCGGCCCGGGGGTCCATTTAGTTTAAATTGTTTCCATAATAATGTTACACCACAACTGCCTGTTCCTTTCTCATTCTCTCTGAGTGTGAGGCGGAGTTTTCCGGAGGCTCTGGGACACACGCAGTGGCGACACAGAGCGCAGAAGCAGGCAGGAGAATGACACTGTCATCTTCTAGGGCAGACACGAGGTTTGCAAACATGAAAACCAATACCACTCTTTGCCCTAAAATTTGGGGAGAAACATTGTTATCCTCCCCTCCAAAAACCCATCCATCTCTTTACATGTAACAGAGTTATTATTTCTGAAATACATTAATAAATACTTAAAATGTTCATTTCTGGGACAGTTGAAGTTTGAGAACCGCTGTTCTAAGGAAATGTAAACGAGGAAATCACAGAAAGCTCATCAGCTGGTAGCTTCCATCGGCTCTAGGCCCAGGAGGGAAAACCAGGCACGGACGAATTCCTGGGGTGAAGCCGGCCTCCCCGGGGGGGACCTGACATGGCGGTCCGAGGGCACCCCACCGCGGAATGTTGCTGCGCAATGATGAGCCCTCATCACTCAGGAGGACTGCCCAGTGCACCGGCTCCTCACCGGTAAGCTCGTGTCTCTCCCCTCCCACAGCCCACCTGAGTATAAAGGTCCGTGTTCCCCGACCGTCTGTCTCTGCCGCTGTCCCCAGGGCTTCTCACAGCGGGCGAGCTCCCGCCTTGGGGTGCGGGGAGCTCCTCCAAGACTCCTAGCCAAAAAACTGGGCTAGGGGAGCCACAGACCCCAATAAACAGGGGGTAGCAAACCCTCCCTTTTAGGTGACCTTTCCCCAAGAAGAATCCCAAATTAAAATATTTTCAGCAGGTGTTTTCCAAATACTTAAGATTCTTAACCTCGCTTTAGATAAATGTACGGTTTTGCTCTAGGCCAAGTCGTGCTTTACAGGTCAACCGGCCCAAACCTCACCACTTCGGCTTAAAACGTGGCCCAGGCTCAGCCCACCCAGGCTCTGGAGGAACCAAAGTTGGTTCGCTGAACGTGCCAAGGGGTGGGTGCCGGTTTCAATTCCCCGCGGTCCTCCTTCTACCGCCAAAGGTGCCCCTCCCCCTCCCCCTCCCCCACTGGCTCCAGCAGACTTCCCTCCCGCAGCTCCGGCGGCTACCTGCCGCCCGCCTCCTCTCCGCCCTCGGCCTGGACCACCCGAAGGTCTGGAAAATCCAAGCCATAAAAGGAGGCGGCGGGGAGTGGCGAGATATTTGAAAAGAGAGCTCCTCGGAGGACATGAACCCAAAGTTCCCATTGCGGGGGGCCTCCCCTGGCCCCGTTTTCCCCGAAGCGGTTCGCAGGGCACACACTGGGCAAGGGAGGGCGCCCCAGGCCAGAGTCCCAGGCTTCCTCCAATAATGCGCGCTGGAGGAATTTCCAATTCCCCCTCTTGGAAAATTGCAGAGCTGGAAAGGTGTGGGCACACCTCATCTCACCCACCTCCTAGCACCTTTGGGGATGTGGATTCAGGCGAAACCGGCAGCCGGAGCGGAACACACTAGCGACAAGCTACCGGGAAGGACGCGCTCGGCCCGCCCCCGGCAGGAGGGCCAGTCCACTGCCTGCCCGCTCCGTAGGCTGCCTCTCTGCCGAGGTACGCCCCGGGTTCCAGGCCCACGGCCCTGCAGGGCCCCTGTTGGCCGCAGCTACAACCTGGTCCTCTGCCAGCATGTCCTCTAGCAATGCATCCCCGCAAGGGGGTCTTGTAGACTTACACGCAAGCCGTGCACGGGTCCCGGCGGCAGGAACACCAGCAGCAGAGAGAGGATGCGAATGACCCCCGGCAGATCCGCTCTCCAGCCTCTCTGCTCCATCGCAGTCGGCGCCCGGGCCAGCCGCTCGGCGTCACTTGACTGAGGACCCGCGACCTGGCACCGCCCCTCTCGGGTCCTGACCATAGCCTGGGAGCTTGCTGCGCCCGGCGCTCCGCCCCACGACAGCAGACCCGGGGGCGGGGAATGGGCTTGACGAATCTGGAGGCCACGCGCGGCCTCGTGACTTCAGGATAGCGTTATCTCGTTCCTTGTCGGCCTCTGCTAGACCCTTTGCAAAGGCAATTGAGAGGCCCCGCTGTCAGCAGCCTGATAACGCGCCCGGGGGTTGGACTTCATTCAACAAGGGCCTCCTTGCTCCTTGGCTGCCTCAGAGGACAGAACGGGGAAGTTGAGACCAGATAAACCTAAGTGGACTAGATAGAATCCTAGCCCTGCATACCAGACTCTCGAAAACTAAAGGTCTGTACATTTCAGACCCTGGACCAACCCTATACCTGGAACTTGTTAGAAATGCAAATTCTAGGGCCCCACCCCAGGAACTGCAGGTCAGAAATTCTAGGGCTGGGGCCCAGAAGTCTGTATTTTTGCACACTCTCCAGGTTTGTGGGTGCGTGCTGAAGTTTGAGAACCACCGTTCTAAGTTACCAAGAAATTTAGAGCTGTGAAAAAAATCATTCCAAATGCCAACTTTCAAAGCATCAGGGTCTGTAGAATTTTTTATTTTATTGCTGGGTTTGAACAGATTAAAAGCAACATCTCCCTCCTTTCAATTTTGCCCTTGAGATTCTTAACAGCCCTGCCATGCCGACGTGGGCAGATCTGTCACACTGGGGTGGAATACAGTCGTGTGCCCCTTAAGGACGAGAGACAGTCTTAGAAACGCAACAGTACGTGATTTTTGTCACTGCGTGAACACAAACCTAGATGGCTACTACACACGAGGCTATGTGGTACCACCCATTGCTCCTGGGCTACAGTGTTACTGGACAAAACAGCACGAGAGTACATCAAACACACGCAAAAAAATGCAGTCAAGAGATGCGATGAACATGGCATGCTGTTTCACAGCAAACACTTAAGTAAAAGAGTAAGCTCTAAAACAATGACAAAAATGTAGTAAATACATAAACCAGTAACATAGCTGTTTTTTTGTCATAATCAAGTGTAATGTACTCTACATAACTAACCATGCTGTACTTTTTACGTGGCTGACAGTGCAGTACTCAGTTTAAGCCAGCGTCTCCACAAACACTGGAGAAATGTGTTGTGCTAAGACATTTCAAAGCCCCATTACAAGGCAGTAGGAGTTTTTCCACTCCATTATAATCTTGTGGGACCGCTATTGGTCCACTGTTGACCGAAACGTGATTCTGCGGCACGTGACTGTAGTATCGTCTCATTTTACACTTGGGAAAACCAATGCCCTGCGATGTGTGTTAGCTTGTCCAGGATCACTGTCTGCCACACGAGCTCTGGGTCTGAAGTTTTGTTTTTTGACCTGGAAGATGGACACAAGGGGATAAGCCACAACAGAACTCATTAAGTTATTTATTTGTATTATGTCTCTTTCTGTATCTGTTTTTAAAATGACTTAAAAAGTTATTTTTTACTTTTAAAAAGTTAAAAAATAATGTTGACTATATTAAAAAAAATCCCTTATACATTGTGTAACAAAATAGCTACAATTGCACCTGCTCATTCCCGGCTCCTTTTCCACTGGACTTTTCCCTGGGAGACTGAGAAACAGTCACTGGCTTTCCTTTCACAGGTTCTCTTCTTGCCTGGAACACAGACTCACTCCTCTGGTGCTGTGAGGTCCTCTCTAAACACGGCAACACTCATCCGGAACTAAGGAGCGAGGGCTTTGGCGGCGGGCACACTTGAGTTGAAAAGTTGAAATACTAGCTCTGCCGCTTAATGTTTGTGTGAGTGGGTGAGTCACTTAACCTCTCCGAGCCTTAGCTTCTTCGTTGGTAAAACGGGGATAATAACATCAGACTCACTGGGTTGTTGAGAGAGTTGCAAGAGGTGATAACTAGAACACATTTGGCACATGCAGCATGTTGGCGGGGCAGCTGATGAAATCAGAGTTAGGCCTGTAGGGTAATTTCCTGATTTTGATAAGAGTGCAAGCACTAAAGCTTAAATCATAGTTTTACATTAATTTATTGATTTTGATAATTGCACTGTGTTTTTAGAAGAGAATGTTTTTGTTTTTACAAAAAGAAAGGTATCATCGTTGCAATGGACTCTCTATCCGATCAGAAAAAAATATGTATAAACACACACATAGAACCATAAAGCAAATGTGGTAAAATATTGACATTAGAGGAATCGATCAAGGAATTCTTTCTACTATTTTTACAACTTTTTTCCTAAGTCTAAATTATTGCAAAATAGTTCAATTTTTAAATGATATTTTATTGATTATGCTATTACAGTTGTCCTGATTTTTCCCATTTAGGCCCCTCCACCCAGCACCCCCACTCCTTCAGGCAATCCCCACACCGTTGTTCATTTCCGTGAGTCCCGCATACAAGTTCTTCAGCCACTCTATTTCCTATACTGTCCTTTACATCCCCATGGCTATTCCTTAACTACCTATTTGTACTTCTTAATCCCCTCACCTCTTCAACCATTCCCACAAAACCCCCTCCCATCTGGCAACCATCAAAATGCTCTCTGCATCCATGATTCTGTCTCTGTTCTTCTTGTTGGCTCAGTTTGTTTTTCTAGATTTAACTGTTGATAGATATGTATTTTTTGCCATTTTATTGTTATAGTTTTGATCTTCTTTTTCTTAAATAAGTCCCTTTAACACTTCATATAATAATGGTTTGGTGATGGTGAACTCCTGTACTTTTTTCTTGTCTGGGAAGCTCTTTATCTGCCCTTCTAATCTAAATGATATCTTCTGGGTAGAGCAATCTTGGCTGTAGGTCCCTGCTTTTCATGACTTTGACTATTTCTTGCCAATCGCTTCTAGCCTGCAAAGTTTCTTTTCAGAAATCAGCTGACAGTCTTATGGGGACACCCCTTAGGTAACTGTTGTTTTTTTTTGTTTTGTTTTGTTTTGTTTTTTGCTGTTGTTAAGATTCTCTCTTTATCTTTAACCCTTGGCATTTTAATTATGATGTCTCTTGGAGTGGGCCTCTTTGCGTCCATCTTGCTTGAGACTTTCTGTGCTTCCTTTACTTGCAGGTCTGTTCCCTTCACCAAATTCAGGAAGCTTTTTTTCACTGTTTTTTTCAAATAGATTTTTAATTTCTTCCTCTTGCTCTTCTTCTTCTGGCATTCAATGATGCGAATGTTGAAGCTCTTGAAATCCCAGAGGCTGCGTATGGTATTCTCATTTTTTTTTAAATTCTTTTTTCCTCTTGTTCTTCTGATTGGTTGTTTTTTGTCTCCTTATGTTCCAAATCATGGATTTGATTCTTGGCTTCATCCACTCTACTGTTGTTTCCCTGTAAATTGTCTTTTTTATTTCAGTTAATGTACCCTTCATTTCTGACTGGGTCTTTCTTATGCTGTTGAGGTCCTCACTAAGTTCCTTGAACATCCTTATAACCAGTGTTTTGAACACTGCACCTGATAGGTTGCTTATCTCCGTTTTTTCATTTAGCTCTTTTTTTCTGGAGTTTTTATCTGTTCTTTCATTTGGTCCATGTTTCTTTGTCTTCTCATTTTGGCAGCCTCCCTGTGTTTGTTTCTATGTATTAGGTAGAGCTGCTATGACTCCCTGTCTTGGTAGCATGTTTTAATGTAGTTGGTATCCCACAGGGTCCAGTGGCACAGCCTCCCCTATCACCTAAACTGTGTACTTGTGTACTCCCGGGTACACCCTTTGTGTGGGGTGAGTACACCCTCCTCTTAAAGTTGAGCCTAAAGTTGGCAGATCAATGGGAGGGATTTACCCAGGCCAGACAGCTGCAAGGATTGGCTGTGACCACTGACCACCAACCTCCACCCTCCGTGAAGGGTCAGCTGTGCAGGGGCATGGTGGTGGTGCTCCAGCATGGTCTGTAGCTGTCCACTGGGTGTGCCGGCCCTGGGTTTTCCCAAGTGCTACGGGCCAAGGTCAGCCCCCACCCGTGTTTTGCTGGAGCACCCTTCCTGACCTATAAAGCAACCTGAGAAGGCTGCTACTTTTGCTGGGTTTGAAGATTCCCAGGTAAAGCCAAGCTTGAATCTAGGTGGGCTGCTGCTAGTGCCAGGCCTGAACCTCACTGAAGCCTGCTCTTGCTTTTTGATGGGATTTAGGAAGTTGTGCAGCATGAGCCAAAACCAGCCTTCTGTATGGAAAAACAGCTTGGGTTGGCCTGCAAGTTGGGTTGGCAGAGTCTCTGAGGATCTGCAAGGTGGGTCAAATGGTGTTATCCAGGCTGAGGTAGTTTCAGATCTGGCACCAGCTTGCCGGCTCTTTGTGGGGAGGGTTTAGAAAAGGGACAATGGCTTCTGCTGTCCTTGATGCCAAACACTTCGGTTTCTCCCTGTGTACCACTGTTGCCTTTCAAGCTGCTAGCCTGGTGTTGGAGCTCAGAGGAAGTGAATCTGAGTAAGTCTGTGTGTGGGTTCCTTAAGGGGAACTGGTTGGGGCCCCTGGTGTTTCTTCTACTGACTCAATCCCTGCTGGTTTTTGCAGCTAGAAGTTGTGGGGACTTATCTTCCTGGCTCTGGAACCCTGGCTTGGGGGGCCTGGTGTGGGGCTGGGACTCCTCGCTCCTGAGATATCCCTCCACACGTGGGTGTGGGACCAGCCTGTTCTGCATCTGTGCCCCTCCTACCAGTGGGGATGATGTGGTTTCTTTAATTCTGTAGTTGTCAGACTTACATTTAACTGGGTTTGTAGTTGTCAGACTTCTGTTCAACTTGATTTCTGATGGCTCTGAGTGATGGTTGTTTTATATTTTAGCTGTAATTTTGATGTGGTTGTTCGAAGAGGCGAGCCGTGTCTGCCCATGGTGCCATCTTGAATGGAAGACAAAGTTAGATTTTAAAAAATCCTTGGCAAACAACAGCTTCAACTTTTCCTACCTTTCCCCTCCCCCCCTTTACAGATGTAGCATGACAATACGCAGCAGGCATGTTTAACCGAATTGAAGCAGAAAGTGTTTAGCTCGGGG